GGTGCGAGAAACCTTTATTGTTTGTAGAATGGCATATATTTATTTGTTTTGCTTTGCAAAATGAATAAAGATGAAAAAACGTTCGTTATTATTCATATCTTTTTAAGTTGAAATAGGAGCCTTAGTCTGCCATATTTGCTACATATGTCAAGATTTATGCGCGACTGCTTAAAGAATACACAGTTCATTTCTTTAGCAGGTTGTTTATCACCTTTTCGGGATGCATTGTTTTGGGATTTAATACTTGCATGTATAAGCTGCTGCTATTGTTGCTGATACGGCAGGAACTCCAAGCCTTTATTTCAAATACACGTATGGATGGATGTTGTCTAGGATATTTCAATCAATAACAACTGTGGTTTGTGGGTAGGATATTTTGAGCTCAGGCTGCTTTCGCTTTATGTCTGTGTGTGGTGCATTCATTTGACAGACTCAGATGTACAATCTACGTTGATACAATCGCGTGATTGCTTATTTCTAAGAAATAGCTTTTACTTCAGATGTATTAAAAATTTGGTTCGTACAGAAAGAAACTTTATTAACAAGTTGAACACAGATTCTTTATACGTGAAAAAAAAACGTGTTGAAAACCAGCAGATAAAACAACTATCGATTAATGCGGCGTGAAATCATCTTCTTTGACTGATGTTTCTAGACTTAACAAAAATTTCAAAAGTTGTTGTACTTTAATAAAGTAATAACGTTTCGTTCAGTTTTACTCTGCTGTCGTTGCCTAGCTGTCATATTTGTTTAGAGTTGCTTCAAAAGTTATATCTACCAAATGGTAACATTAATTTGCCGGAATGTTAAGTAACATTGTATACTAAAATAATACATTTATTCTGAAAACGTCCTAGACTAAAGAATTTGTTGCGCTAAAATAGTAACGTCGTTGGTGCAAAATTATGATTAAATATTTACTTCACTACAAATATATTTTCTCAAATTACTAAAGATATTTTAAACTTATATTCCTTTAATTCGATGCTTTGAGTATTATTAATATTATTCTAAAATGGTGCATGTAAAAATGTAATAATTTTGTCACAACATGTGAACTAGATTTGTAAAATACCGAGGCACATGGAAAATAATTTTTTTGCTATGTTACTTGCCCACAGATGCTTAAAAGTAAGCTTGAGAACTTATACACAAAAAATTGTGGTTCGATACCCGTGATGGGCACAACGTATATACCCCATTGTGATGATTTGCGCTTAAACACAACGCGAACGAACGAAGTTTTGTATTCTTCGTAGTCATATGAGGATGCTGTGAATATATCATTTTGGATACATCATAATATGGTGGTATCTCTTCTTCGTAGTCATATGAGGATGCTGTGAATATATCATTTTGGATACATCATAATATGGTGGTATGTCGTCAACGTGCATCAATAAGCTCGTAGGTTTAAGACTTTCTTGACTAAAACTGGGCCGAGCGTGGCCCAGTAGCTAAGTTACCGGACTGTGGAGCTATGGGTATTTCATTCGCGTCCTGTTACCTAAAAAAAAAGACGGTGCTCCACATTTTGGGGATATGGGTGTTTTATAAGGGTGACGGTCAAATCCCAAATGTTGATCAGACAGGGGTAGCCTAAGAGTTGGCGGTGGCTGCTGTTGACTAGTCACTCTCTCTCTCTCTAGTCTATCAGCTCAAAATTAGGGATAGTTAGCGCAGATAGTCTTGAGTAGCCTTGCGCAAATATCTGAGAACAAAACAAAACGAAAACAAATTCAGATAAAAATCCTACAACAAAATAACTCATGTAGATCGTCAGACAGTTTCCAATTACCATACCAAAAATTGTGGTAATCGAGCCAACTACCTCCGAGTGATTGATGCTAACACACGTACACACTGTTACATATTACAATTTCGAAAAATCTGAAATTGAGTTAAATGATACTTTATATTTAGTAGTTGAATTGTACTTTGGATTTAGCAGTTAAGTAAAAGCCGATATATAGTCAGTTTATGATATTTGCCGACAAGATTGATACACACAGTTTTCTTTTTTTAACACAAATACGTTGTAATATATACACAACAATACAATTTACAATAACAGTTATTACAAATAGTTATTACAAACAATGATCTATAAACCAAAGTTTCACAAACTTACAAGCAATATAAAGTCTTCTTTCTAGTCTGGAACTTCTTCGATATCTTATCGAGGGTT